GGGGGGGTTAAACAGGGGCTCGAGCTCAACTCCAGAAACCTCGACTGGGGCACAGCCTGGTGGCACGCCTCACAGACCCACACGGAGCCCCTCAGGTGGAGGCGGTGGGCGGAGGCAGCGAGAGCTCGAGCAACTCTAGACTTCGGCACCGCTTTGATGGGCACCGCATCCCTCTCAGCCTTCGACGTTTTGTCGGCGGCAGCAGCATCCTGGAGCGCACGACGGGCACGCCTCCTGATCATAGCAGCAGCAGAGTCGACCGCATCGGTCCGAGGAAGGTCCCCCACGAGCCCCCTCTCCCACGCCAACTCCGCCGCCCTCCCCGCCCAGATATCCGCAGCCATGTTTCCCATGGCGGTGAGCATCTCTTGCTCACAGTTAAAACTCGCTCTCTCATCCGTGTGGGATGGGGTCCACCGAACAACAAGCTGGCCAGGCCTGGATCTCCAAGACTTCCTAGCCCGCTCCCAGAGGTCCTCCTGGAGACGAGAGGCCCTGGGATTCTCAAGGATAGACTTCCAAGACCTGGCTATATTCTTATGGTCGGTGACGAATTCAACATTACCTGGAACATTCTCGAGCATGAGGCAAAACGCAAGCAGCTCGGCCCTCGGGACAGACTGTTTCAGCCCGAGGAGAGGGACCGCCATGCCAGCACGCTCCTGGAACTGACCCTGCTCATCAGGCGCAAGGGCCACGATAGCAGCTCCACAGCGGCGCCGACGAGGATCGTCTGAGTGCTTCCCTCCAGACCCGTCCCCGTACACCACCGTCCACCCCCCCTCCTCACATTCATGAAAGGCGCCTGGCAGCCTGAGCTCGAGCTCGGCCAGCAGCGCCTCATCGAAGCGAGGCGTGGTCATGCAGACGCTGGGCACGCCACGGAGCCAGAAAGTTGGCCGGCTCTCATGCTGCGCTGTCGCCGCAGGCAGCAGCGAGGCAGTCTTGTCGTAGTCGTCGTGGTTGCCGTTGCACTCGCAGGACCAAATCCTGTGGAACAGCGTCTCTGGATGCTTCTCGCACCTTGGGCATGTGGTCGACTCCAGCTTGTACCCGCATAGGTGCCTGCGAGTGCGGGTCCACTGCCCTCCAGCCACGACCGTCAAATTCAATCCATGTTCATCATGCTGGCCACGGGCCTGGTGGCGCTTGAGCTCCCTCATGATATGGAAGAAGTCACCGCCACCCGCCAGGCCCTCGCCATTGTCATGCTTACTTGCTTCTACCCACAGCGCCGAGCGGATGTCCTCGATGAGGTCGTCGATCAGCTCTGTCGTCGAGCCGAAGTTCTCGAACGCCTCGTCGCCGCTCGACGGGATGTGCCACTCATCAACTCCAGCGCTAGTCGGGCGGGTCCAGACCGTCGCAGTCTTAGGATCCCACCCCACATCCATCAAAGTAGCAATCACTGCTGAAATCGGACCTCTGGCAATGCTCCAGCGCCGCCTCTCCGCCTTCGCAAGGCGGCCCCGAATCGACGGCCACACAAGCCTGAGTCGCCGATGCAGCTGCGGCTGAGCCTGCCAGAAACTGAGCCATTCCAGAACTAACTGCCGTCGCATCTCCACCGCAGGGTCCTTCAAGCCAAAAGACGCCGCCAGTGTGCTGGTCAAGCAGCGCCCACCTTGGCCACCAGTGACGGCAGCCCCAGCCTGGCGCCGCAGTGCCAGCAGGGCCGACGGAGAGGTGCCATGAACTTGGTGCCCATATGTAGACTGCGGGCACGCACCAGTCGCCCACAAGCCGCGGGCCTCACGGCCAAGTGCAGCCATACGCCTGAGCCTCTTGATGCGCCCAGCTCGTCGTTGTGCCTTGACTCGCCTCGAGATGGCCCTGGCACAAACTCTGCGCCTGGCGGCCGCAACGTCGACGCCGAGGTCGACGCCCTGCAATACTGGCCTCACTGGAACTCCTCTCGCACGCAGCCTCTGTGCCGACTTCTTGGCCAGGGAGGCCGACGAGCCAAGAATCACAGACTTGGAGGAGACAACCAAACGATGCTGCTTCAACCCTTGAGCCAAGGACGTGCCCACAACATCCGTAGCAGGTAATACAGCTTCCGCAGAGCCTTCGCACCGTCCCACCGTATCGTCAATGAACGTCCAGAGTGACGCCGACGGGGCCTCCTGATGCACCCTCTCCAGGATGGGGTTGAGGGCCAGCTTGGAGAAGGGAACCCCATGGGACGAGCCAGCCACAATGCTGCGTGTAGGGAAGATCGCCTCGCTGAGCCAGCCGCGCTCGCGCAGGTAGCGCGGGTGGAGGTAGACCTGCACCTCGAGACCCATGACCGTCGGACTGAAGCCGATGTCCAGGCCAATCTGGAGGAGGCCCACCAGCGAGACGCTGTCGTAGAACTTCTCGATGTCCAAGAGGAGGACCAGGAAGCTGACATGCTGCTCCTGGGCCGCCTCGTCGAGCGTCGCCCTCAAGAGGGCAGCGCGCAAGGCTGAAGAGCCACGCACTGCTGTGTCCCAGAACGCAGCGCGCGCAGGGCACCATTGCGAAGTGAATGCCTGGCGAGCACGCGACCACAGCTTGACAGGCAACGGCACCATACCCAGCACACGATCTCCTTCCCCCGACGGCTTCGGAGCAAGGGCAGAAAGAGTGGCCGCCAACTGCAGCGGCCATGCCTGGGCTGCCTCGCATCGCTGGAAAAGGTCCCTGAGCTCCTCGAGGGCCTGAGTCGGGAGGCGGCTCAGGTCGCCAGCCCCAAGCCCCTCAACTCCACGAGCCTTCTTGTTGCCCGTGACTCGAATAGCAGCCTGGAGCTGTTCACAATGCAGCGGAGGGATGTCCTCCTCAGCTGCTTTGCGTCGTATTGCACTCAGCGCTTGAATGATACTAGCTGGGGTACCCACTGCATCGCTCCAAATATTGCCCCACTTCGTCGACTTGTTGGCCATGATCGTGATGGGGTCAGCCACCGCATTGGCCGCAAAGGAACTGGGAGTGGTCTCCACCGTGGCATCCTCAGGCCGAGGGGCGACAGGGTCACGCACGTGTCGGTGGAGAGCGCCAGGGGAAATGCGCCACATGCGGCGGACCCAGTCAGCATAGGCCTTGCGAGCCTTGCCAATGCCCCTCGCCACCTCACAAGCTGCAACCGCCTCAACTGCCACCAGAACCTGACACAGCCCCTCAACCATCTGGTCGCTGCTAAGACTGTGGACCCCTTTGTGCAGGGAGACAATCTGATCAAGAGCCGTCCTGGCTCTGTCTTGTAAGTCAGGTCGCTGATCCAAGTGGTACTGTCGGAGATGCTGAACTCGACCAGCAGCACTGGCCAACGCACTACACATCTGCTCATCATCCTTGTCATGAAGAAATAAGGCCAAGGTCCTCCTGCAGAGTGTGTCCATAACCGACCAATGTTCAGCACCATCATGTTTCCAGTGGCCTCGACCAGGCGACGGGGCCGACTTCTTCCACGTAGCTGCAAACCCTCGGGCTCTGCCAATGCACGACGCACGCTCGAGGGCCGAGAGGTTCGGGTCAAGGAGGGACTGCTCAACCTGGCTGACCCACCTACCATAGTCCTGGGATAGCTGGTCGTTCCCCTCGAGTGCCCACGAGACGATAGGAGACTCGCCAATCATGCGCATCTCCGCCGTGAAGGTGTACTTCGGGCACCCGTCTCCATCCGCTCCAGAGGGCAAGTTAGAGTTCCATCGATCCAGGCTGACTTCAAAGACATCACCAGTCACACCTTGAGGGTCAGGGGGCTGATGGAGCTCGTAAAACGCATCTTGACGATCTGGAGGCAAGGCCTCCTTGCGCCTCTGGAGGGCTGCTTGCTTGCGCTGGTAGGTCTTGCTCTGCGGGTCAGGGGCCGTCGGTGGCCGATCCACACCAGGGAGCGGCCGCGGCAAGACCAGAGCGCGGTGCCACCATGCCGTCGACGTGCCCTGTATCTCAACATGGAGGCCACAGTGGACCTTCCAAGGAACAGTGAGAACACCCTTGACTGAGACTAAGTCTGCCACCGACACTGACGCCACCGCATAGTCAATGAGCGACCCCGCACCCTTGTCGCAGGTAACACGGACATCTGGGAGAACGATTGTGCCTCCCACATCCTTGAGGAACGAGTTGCGCTCCAGGGCCGTCGGGGTCAGGTTCCAATCTGCAACGATGATCCACGGGCCAGATACTGATGCCAAAAAGGCACGTAGAGAAGCCCATCTATCAAGATTGAGGCCTCCGAACCCGTGCTTGGGTAAGAAATAGGCCGCGATAACAATGAGGTTGCCTGCTCGCAGGTGCCAGACGGTTGGGACCCAGCCTCGGCAGGGAGCCTTCAGGCGCTCCTTGGTCATCAGGGCCCTCTGCCGATCGAAGGACGTGGCAGCAAGATGGGACCGCGCCAACACCCACTCGCCTCCACTCGTGCCCTCAACGGACCGACCCGTGCCCACCGCAGCACAAGCCGATAACTTCCAACCGTCAACGTCCAGACTGGCACGATAATGAATGAGCTTCGCCTCGGCGACGTGAGTCTCCACAAACGCCATCATGCCGCACTTACACTTATGTTCCACCACAAACTTGTGGATGCGGGGCCCCCATCCCGTGACATTCGCAAAGAAGAGAGACGCACCAGCACGGTGAGGTGCCTCCTCATGGGCCGAAGGCAACACTGGCTGGCAGGGGGGGGTCTGTTCCTCACGAGCCGACCGCGTGACCACTGACGCCACACAGCTCGCCCGTGTCTCCATCCCCGAAGAGCGGGCCAGATGGAGGCAGCCACCCCCCGTAGTAGACTGGGGCGCCACCGTCGGAGCTGACGTGGCCACGCAGCTCGCTCGTGTCCCCATCCCCGAAGAGCGGGCCAGATGGGGGTTGCAAGACACCGAGGTAGATGACGCCAACTCCAATGTCGCACGTGCCTCCATCCCCGGGGAGCGGGCCAGATGGAGGGTGCCTGTACTCGGAGCCGACGGAGCCAACTCCAGTGGAGCTGAAGATGCCACGCAGCTCGCACGTGCCTCCATCCCCGAAGAGCGGGCCAGATGGAGGATGCCTGGTCTCGAGGTCGAAGGGGCCAACCTCGGCGGAGCTGACGATGCCTCGCAGCTCGCTCGTGTCCCCACCCCCGTAGAGCGGGCCAGATGGGGGCTGCCTGACCCCGCAGCCAGAGACGACAACTCCGCTGTCGCTGAAGATGCCACGCAGCTCGCACGTGCCTCCACCCCCGAAGAGCGGGCCAGATGGAGGATGCCTGGGCTCGAGGTCGACGGAGTCGGCCTCCACGGAGCTGACGATGCCTCGTACCTCGCTCGTACCCCCATCCCCGAAGAGCGGGCCAGCTGGGGACTGCCTGAGGCCGAGGTCGCAGGTGCCAACTCCGACGTCGCTGATGCTACGCAGCTCACTCCTGTCGTCGATAGGCGGGCCAGGTGAATGTCTGCATGCGCGCCTTGCATAGGGCTAGGCGCAAAGGAATGATGCTGCTCCAGATCGTTTCCAAAGCAATCGTCGTCGCTGCACTGCATGTCCTGAAGGGGGTCGATATCCACATCATCCAGCGTGGTGCTACCCCCTCTTCGGAGGAGGGGCCTTGGCGCGAGGTGGAGGCCGACCATCACCGCCGCCGCCAGGGCCAGGAGGGGCAGCGGCCACGCCGACATCCGCAGGGGACCTCGCGACTGGGCAGGCCTTCGCAGCGGACTGCTCGAGCCGTTCCCGTGCAGCCTTGACCTTGGAGGCACGGGCCTTGGCCTCAGCATCCGACGGGGCTGCTGCTGGGGCTGCTGCCGCGGCAGCCGCCTTGGCTCCCTCGGCGCCAGTAGCGGTTCCCACCTCGGCGCCGCCTTCAGCCTTGGTGGCTGGGCCCAGCGAACCCTCAGCGCCGACTGCCGAAGCCGTCGCCTCTGGGCCAGACACCACCTCCACCACGCGCCGCCTCTTGAGGGGCGCCTGCGCTGCAGCCAGCTTGACCCCCTCGAGGGCCTTCTGGACGGCGTGGATGACCGCCGCGGCCTGGTCCTTGGCCTCATCCATCGCCGTGAGGGCCGTCTGCAGCTTGTCCTTGGCCTCTCCATCCTCGTACTCCTCAATCGAAATGCTCTTGAGCTTATCTTCATATGCTGCCAAGAAATCGGGCACAGACTCAGGCTTGACCTCGGAAGCCGTCTGGCCGCGAACATTGTTGTAGGCCAGGACCGCAGCCTCATGGGCCTCCTCAGCGTCCACGAGCTCCTCCATGGCCTGATCGTAGTCCTGGCGCGCCTGCTTGAGGCGCGTCTCCAAGTTTGAAATCTCCGTAAGAAAGTTGTGTGCATTGGTGGCCGCCTGCTTCGCCTTGGCCTCCGTGGACTGGAGCTGCTCCAAGGGTGTGCGCGACCTCGGCAATGCGGGCGTCTCAACTGCCTGCTTGATGGCGAGAACTGAAGCCGTAACCGATGCATCTTGCTGCACGAGGGCCTCAAGCTGGTTGATGAGCTTCGCCTTACCCCAGGGGCTGAAGATCGCAGGAGATGAAGCGGCGGGCACGGCTGGCCCCGGCCCCTTCGGCGGTCCTCCCTTGGGCTTGTCCTTCTTCTTCTTCGGAGAGTATAGCTGCTGCACCTGTCCACACACCGAGCAAGCTCCGCCATTCTTGATAATACGCCAGTTCCAATCCCACTGCTTGCCAGCACGGCAAGACGGGGTCGGGCACATGGTGTAGCTCGTGCGAGGCTGCTGCGGCGGCGCCATGGCAGGCTCTGATGAAGGAAAGGGGCTTGTACCGTCGCGCTGCTAGCGACGGGATCGTGATCCCCTGAAATCACTGTCGGACTGATGAGCAGCCCTGGCACTGGCCGCGGACTAGCGGCATCCACGTGTTCCCCTGTGGAACAAAGCATCTTGAGCCAAAATGGCTACGGAGGAGGAGGAGGAGGAGGAGAAGGAGGAGGAGGAGGAGGAAGAGAAATAGAAGGAGGAATAGAGGCCAGCGCAGAGGGCGAGAGGAGAGGGTGTCCGCCAGGGGGAGGAGGAAAAGACAAAGGGTAAACTAAACAGATTCTCATGTGGGGCCCTACCGTCGGAGTATTTTTTCTATGCGTATTACATCTATTTCGGATGATCGACGAATTTCGTGATCTATTTTCTGCCACTCTGAAGTGTTTCCAGATAGCAGGACTTGCACATGCCGGGGACATTACAAGGACCTGGCACGGCGCATCCCCCAGCGAGTCGACTGGAGCAAACGTAGAACATCTGCGTGTAGTAGCTGACCACATGTAACTGAGCGCAAACGTGGCAAGAGCCAGCCAGGCGAAGTACAAACAACAACCGAAGACGACCACAACGACGAGGCTGGCCCCGAATTCCGCGGCGCGGAGAGCACGGCCCCTGGGCGCCCGGGCGGAGCTCGCGGGCGACGCCCGCGCGCCAGCCCAGCTGGTGGAACCGATGCAAAGGAGCAATCTGAATTCCAAAAGAATTCGCGGCGATATCTTCGATGCGGAAGCGGGGGGGGGGGGGAGGGCGCGCCCGGCGCCCCCGCGCCGCCCGTTCCCCGGAAGCTGCTCGGCGTCGCGGAGGTCGTCGGTCGAGGCGACGGCCAGTCGACGCCGACTTCGAGGGCCCCGCCCATTCAGCGCGTTGAACACCTCCCAGATCTCGCCGGGAGAACGCGGAAACAACCGAGCACGGCCAGGGGGCGCAGCGGCATCCTTCGAAGCGAGGTGCACGCCCCAGTTGCGGTTTCGGCCCCGCTGTCGACGGGGGGCGCCGATCGCCGCCGTGGCGGCCGCGGGGGTTGGCCGCGGATGGCATCCGGCGCGTCTGGCGCCATGTTTGACCATCGCGATCGCACGGCCGGCCCCTCCTGAAACGTCTCGCCGAGGTAGAGCGCTCGACGGCGTCGAGGCCAAGCGCGGCGCAAGGCAAGCGGGCCGCGGCACTCCGCGATCTCGGCGCCGGGGGAAGGCGCATAAGCCCTGGCGGCCCACGCGCGAGGTCAGCACGCGGCGCCGCAGACGCCCAATGACCAGCTCAGCGGGGGCCGATGCGTAGCGGGGGCGAGGGGACCTCCACCAGCAAGCGAAGGGGCATTCCGAATTGCCCCGGGCGATCATCGCCCCCCCCCCCCCACACACACACCCCGCACTGGGCGAGCAGCGCTCGGGGGAACACGCAGAGCACGATGCATAATGCGCGCGGGGGACAGGTTCGAGAGAGCTAACAGACGGGCCCACCCACCCCTCACCAGGCGAACAACGCTCCGGAGAACACGCAGAGCACGACGCATAACACGCGCGCGGGACAGGTTCGAAAGCGCTAACAGACGGGCCTGGGACGCCACAGCGGCCCGAGGGCAATCCGACGAGAAAAAAGGGAGGGGCAATAACGCCAGGATAATCCCGAACAGGCCGCCAGAAACGGGAACTAGCCCGCGAACGCCCGCGCGCGTTCGCGGCCAGGAGAAGACCGCCAAAGAAATTGCCCGCTCGAGCGGAGAAACTGCCCAGAGAAACGGTGCTGTCGGAGGAACTGCCCGCCCGAGCGGCCGGGGTCGCGCTGCGCCGCGCGGGCCAGGGGGGGGGGCGGACCATCAATACCTTCTGTCTGAGATCTCCAAGCGGGGCGCCATCCAAGATAATGGCGGGCCACTATGTCGCGGGCCAAGCAAGGGCGAGGCTCCGAGACGATACGAGGTGGGCACCATCAGCAACCTGCTCCTCGAACTCCCCGCAAACGCTCGCGCGGCCAGGGCCAGACACCGCGTCGTCTAAGACAGGTGCAGGCGGAGCAGACCGCCACCAATCAGGCCGGCAATCTCTCTCGAGCACGCGCAGGCGTTCCTTGGCTGCCCCGCGCAAACCCCTGCGGCCGCCCTGCTATTTCGAGATCGCGAAACGGCTCGCCCTGATCAGCGCTGCGAGGTTCGCCGCGGTCAGGCTCGTGAGCTGCCGGGCCCACGTATCGAACGAGCGCATCCATCTCCACTACGCGGCCTCGCAAATCCACCCCAGTCGCGAGACCTTTCTGACAACTTGTCAGAAAGGTCTCGCGAACCGGCCGAAACCGGACCGGCCCAAGCCGAACCGGCCCAAGCCGAACCGGCCGAAACCGGACCGATGCCAAACCGAACCGGCCAAGCAAAACCGACCCGGCTGCAGAACCGGACCGAACCGAACCGAGCCGATCCCTTCATGGACAAGGTCTGAGAGGACCCACGAACTCAGGAACTTTCCAAACTGAGGGCCCGACAGCAGACGCGAAGAATGCGTCTGCAGCAGCTGCGATCAAAGCCGACGGGGGTCTCGCGTTGGCGCCTGGGCCCTCCAGCGATCGCGCCCGGGCCCGCGGCGCCCTCGCCCTTCGGAGTGAGGGCGCCCAGCAGATCGTGGCATCCCCGAGAAAGCAGGCGCCGGCGCAATTTCCAGGGCGCGGCACGAGCTGTAGTACACCACGCAAGTTCACGCCGAGCGCTGGCCCACGCTGCGCGCGGAGGAGGATCGGGCACCCGCGGCGCGGAAACCGTCGGGAGTGGGCTCGCGCGTCCTCGGCGCGCGGCGCCAGGAGGCCGGTCGCTTCCATCTGCGCGGGGAAGTGCGCCAGGAAAGAGGCCGCGCCGGCATCGTTGAAATCTCGGGCAGTTACCCACGGTCTCCCAGCGTTCAGAACGCTCTCTCAGCATCTGGGGGGGCGGTGAAAATAGGGCAATCGCGACTTCGGATTCCATTGAGCGCGAGGCGAAGGTCAAACGGAAACAAAATCTGCGAAACCTCCTGGAGTTATTTCGACCGATCCCGAAGTTTCTGTTGCACTGAGAGATTACCATGACCATGGGTTACTTCCTGTATCAGACTGTGCGGTTTTCTGGCAAATTCCTAATACCTGTGTTGTTCCCACGGCTCTAGGTCATCCATGGGCCCGGCTCTGATGGCAAGAGTCATGAAGCGCTTGAATTCGGCAGCTTCGAAAGCTCCATGAGGATGGGCATATGTCCTTCTAGGCCGAGGTCCTCGAATCCTTACATTGACAGCCGCAGCAACGTGGTCCGAGATTTTCCTGGCCTGAGGGATGTCAGGCCTCTCCAGGACTTCCCCTCCCGTGGCGAGATAAGCCTGGACCCAACCAGGGGCCGAAAGGAACACCTGGTCAATGTAGGACAGCGTTTTGTTGCCGTGATGGTGATGGCAAGGTTCCTCGATTCGCATTGGCACTCTATGAATCGCCCTCGAAGCTCGCGCCAACCTTGTGGCGCAGGGAAAGGCTGAGCCGACTCGGGGCAAACAGGGGTGAGACGATGATGAGGTTGGTAACCGAAGCGAATGCCCCCAAGAAAAACTACCAGCTGCTCGGGTGAGTGAGCTTCGGCAGAAAGAGACCGTGATGTTCCGCATCAAATACAAGTAAGGTTCCTGCTTCTTCTTCTTTTCAACAATTGACATATATCATGCTGTAGATTGGAATGTAAGATCCACGCGGTCTTCTCGACATTTGCAACCATAACACTCAAGGTCCTGCCAGTGGCGACAGGAGTGGGGGAGACGATGGGGCGCCTCACGCCACAACGCAAAAAGCGACCCAGAGAGTCAGACAGTCGAGAGGAAAGGGTCACCATACACCCCACGCGGTCAGAGACAAGGGCAAAAAGGAGGAGGGGAAAGAGGAATAGATGTGGACATGGCGAAACATATCACGAACCTCCGCCTCAGCGCCGTGCGCTTCCTGAACACCAGCGACGGCGCCTTCCTGCGGCAGCCTGCCCGTATAGCTGTGCCGCCGCAGACGCACTTGACCACGATGCCGCTGCAAGGAACGGGCGCTACAAGTCAAAACCCGAAGGAGTACTGGCTGCAGCTCCACGGCACATGAAGCGGGCTAAAACACTCCACGCGCTCTCCATTGCCCAACGCGAGCGCAGCGCCTTGATGCCGGGCTCGAGCGCGCTGCGCTCAAAGCCCTCGCTGAGCAGATCGGCGGCGGCCCAACTGACGACCGCCTCCCCGTGACCATCCTGCGGCAACACCTGGAGCAACGGCCTTTAAATGAACGAGACCGTGCCTCTGATGCCATACATAAGCAGATTCTTGCCCACGTACTTGGACTCGATGATCAGAGGTTGGGGGGTGAGATCGAAGTGGAAAGGAGAGCCCCCCTACCGGGAAATCGATTTCGGTTTCGTGTTCGTGCGTGCCGTGCGGGCGAGGCGAAGCTGCGTGGGCGGGCGAGAGAAAGTCTCCTGTGGCTGAGGCGCGGCCGGACCAAAAGGCTCCCTTCCGGGCGGCCCGTGGCCCGCCGGTGTCCCGCTGGCGTCCCGCTGGTGTCCCGTGTGGCTGAGGCGCGGCCGGACCAAATGACTCCCTTCCGGGCGGCCGGTGGCCCGCGGTGTCCCGCCGGCGTCCCGCTGGTGTCCCGTGTGGCTGAGGCGCGGCCGGACCAAATGAGTCCCTTCCGGGCGGCCGGGGCCCCGCGGTGTCCCGCAGGTGTCCCGCTGGTGTCCCGCTGGTGTCCCGTGTGGCTGAGGCGCGGCCGGACGAAATGATTCCCTTCCGGGGCACACGGCGATTTGGCGGGATCGTGTGTGGGAAAGTGAGACCGGCCGAGAGAGATCGATGATGAGATCGATTGTGAGATCGATGGGGAGATTGATCGAGTGAGATCGATGAGTGAGACCGATAAAGAGATCGGTAGTGAGATCGATAGTGCAAGAGGGGGCGCGGGCTGCGCCAAGCTTTGCCAGCGCTTCAGTCTTCTGTGGCCAAATGGCGCCGTTAGCTGCCGTTGCGCAAGTTGGGCAGGTTCCCAGGGGGAGGGCCGAATGGTACCAAGGCGCCAGAGAGCGAAGGGTGACGTAAACAACTCGACACCAACGCTCCCAAGAGCGAGCGGCAACGCAACTATCTCCACTGGCATTGTCACAACAACATTCACCACTGTTGCCCATTGCTGGGCCCCTCCCCCCCCCAACCTCCTTATTACCCACAGGATGGTCGTATAGGTACGGTTGAGATAATTGAGTGGCATATCCTTCTTGACCTGCTTCGCGCTCTTGCCGTTGCCCGCCATGAGTTCCATACTCGTGCCTATGATCCGCCATTTGCCATGAACTTCCTCCATTCTCAACCAACCTGCTGAGGCAGTAGAGTGCCCACAGCTTGAAAACCCTTCATGCTCGCCCATCCCGTCGCGCCGCGGATGCGGAGAACGAAGCGGCGACTGGTCGGGTCCCCCATCGAAGTTCCACGCGT